AAAACACCTGCATTTAGTCAAACAGTTCAGCCCTGTTTCCCAGTTGCTTCTCAACCTTCATTATGCATAGGAATCACCCACAGGTTTGGACCAAAGACTTAGAGTAACAACTCTGTATTCCCAGAAAGTTCCTGAACAGTGTATCAACTGACCGGATCCATGCTCTGTAGCCCTGGAAACTGTTAATCAGTTTCCACCCCGTTTCACCTCACGGGTGAGTCCTGTGCCTGAGATCTTGTCCACCATTCTAGTTAACAAGTCCTAAATAAGCTTCCTTAACCAGGCCAGTGTTCCCCCAATTCCCTCCAGTACATACATATCTCTTACCAACAACCTGCCCCTACCCCTTCCCATATAGCAGCAGGGCTCCTTTATAAGAAAGCCTTAGGACAACAGCGTTGTCTTAAACTTCCACTGATGGGGGTGGGGCCGCGCATGCGGCCATGCTCTCAAGGTTAGGGGCAGACTCAAGACTAGTTGGGGGATGGCTATGCTCTCAGCAAGGGAAATCAAGGAGAGGTCTGTCTTGATTTTGTTTCTCTTCTCCATGACTCCTCCGCTAGAATGCAGGCTCCTCGTGCACCAGGCTTTGGTTTTCTTCATGGCCAAGTCCCTAGGAACTGGAACAGAATCAGAAACTTCCTGTGTGGGCAGAAATGGTTTGTGGGATTCGAGTAGCCTGGTGTTTTGAGCATTAGGCTGCTGCCCTGCTGGAATTCTGCTGCAAATAGTGACATGCCTTGTGCCACAGGCAGGACTGGCTGGGGGGGAGCGGCGAGGGGGGTATCTTCCTTGCTCCTTTACCACAAGGTACCTCAAAACCACTTCCAACTGATCCAGCCCAAACCAGAGGGAATGTTCCTCATGCAAGGCCAAGGAAGGACATAAAACCAAAGGAGGGACACAGCAGAAGGCTCACCAACAAAACCCAGAGGCCTCAAAAGCCACAAGGGGAGTGTGGTGAGTTGCCAAACCAGAGAGTGCAGACGTGAATATCAAAGCCAGGGAGCACAGCCAGGAATCCCAGACCAGGGCGATGAAGAGAAAGAGCAAGTGGGCAGATCCCAGCTGGGAGGGGCCCGGGCTGGCTTTGAACAGGCATTCGAGGCTTGCTTTAATGTGACTCCAGAGCCAAGCTGGGGTGGGAGAGTCAAAGTCAGGGGGCCATGGAGAACGGGACAGAATGGGGTTTTCTGGAGTTCTTCAGTTTCTTAGAGCAGAACCTGGGGAGAAAGCATGTGGGAGTCAGAGGCTCATGGCTGGCTTCCACATTCTGACTTACTGAAATCTCACCGCTGCTGGCTGTTAGGACAGTGAGACCCCGGGTGAGCCGCTTGAAGGCAGGACTCTGTCTCTGCACCTTCACCTAAGAGCTGGCATACACCAGCTGTGGGGACCCTATCAGGATTCGGGCTGGATTTCGAGAAAGGAATTGGTTAGAAGTCAGCAAAGGAGTCATTGAAGAGGAAAGAGAGGATCGAGCCAGACTTCCAAGGTCCCATCTTGTCCTCTGTGGAAGGAGGACTGCAAAGAGAAGCAGATCCCTTTGATACCAAGAAAACATTTACAGGGTCACAAGACACTCAGCAGACTCAGGCTAAGCGTCTGATGATTCCTGATTACTTCTAAAATGGGCTTGTGAGCCGGCCAGCTGGCAAACACATTTCCCTCCAATCATTGTCCGCTGTTCACTTCCCTTACTCTCCACAGACTCCTGTGCCCACAGCAGACTTACTTTACCCACAAAGTGACTGCTGTGACAAACACACACACACACACAAAACAAACCAAAAAAAACCCAAACAAACAGAAGTAACAGAGAACCTTTATTCGTTATTTTTCCAAGTCTTAGGGTAGGAGCCCAGGGTCGAATGTTAGCCAGTCTGTCACTGATCTACCCCTTGCGTCTGGGCTCTCTGGGGGCGAGCTCTCCACTCTCACACCCAGCTGCAGGCAGACCCTAACCCTTCATGACCTGCCTGCCCGCCTGCACGCACGAACGCTGGCTGTGGAGTGAGGTCAGCGCAAGGAGGGAACTTCAGCTTGCTCACCGGGTGTTAGTTACTGACTTCTCGGAGTCCCTGTGTCTTCACCTATGAAAAGAATGCCTGCAGTGCTTAATGCAGCTGTGGACATCAAGCCAGAAAGTAGGCCTGGGAGTGCTTTGTAACTGAAGAGTGCCTCCAAGTCAGAAGAACCAAGCGTGGTAGCATGTGCCTGATACCAGCACTCAGGAGGATGGTGAGGAAGGACGAGGTTGCCCTGGGCTACCCAAGACCCTGCATCACCCAACGACAAAGCATTACTGTTAATTACAGTTTTTGTGTCTTCAGATTTGTTACCAGATTAGAACTGTTCGGTTTCTAATTATAAAAAAATAACCTAAACTATAAATGATTGAAATAACTCATTTCTCTCTCATGTGAACTCCAGCCAGAGCTGTGATAAGAGTCCATGATATCAAGGATCCAAGATCTTTTTATCTTTTTGCTTTAACCATGGGGAGCCTCCATTCCTAGCTTTGCCTTAGTCCAAAATAGCTACACAAAATCCAGCCACATACTGAAGAGATCAGAGAGTAAGGACTGACACTGAGCCTGATGACTTGACTTTGATCCCCAGAACCCACATAGATGGAGAGAACCCATTCCCACAAAGTTCTCTGGCTTCCACACATACCATAGACTGGGTGTATTTATGCACAAACACAAATAAATATAAAAAATTAAAACCAGTCATTGCATAACATCCCAGTCAACTCCTTAGAAAGAATGAAGACCACACCCTCTCCCTTCCAAGTCACCCCTGTATGTTCTGTGGCTGCTTCTGCCACCTTTACGGCCACCTTTACTGGCCCAACAGCCGCATTCAGCTACAATGAAAGCTGGGGAATGTGTTTTTATCCCAAGTGACCGAGTGACTAGATGAAAACAGAGGAGTCTAGTGTCACAGGCCTTTTCTTTTAGGCCACCAGCCAGCTCCCAAATCATGACACAGAAACTTCTTCTCAGTTAATAAATGCTGGGCCTAGCTTAGGCTCGGTGCTGGCTAGCTCTTTTAAGTTAACCTGTTCCTCTTTATCTACATTTTGCCCTGGGGCTTTTTACTTTTCATCCCTTCTACATACCCTACTTTCACTGCTTCTTGTGTCTGGCTGGCGGCTGCCTGGCTTCTTGCCTCAGGCATGTGGCTCTCTTTCTTCTCCTTTTACTCCTCTTGAGCCTGGATTTCTCTTCCTACCTATTCACTCTGGCTGCTAGCCCCACCAACCTTTCTCTGCTTAGCTATTGGCCATGCAGCTCTTTATTAGACCAATCAGGTGCCTTAGTCAGGCAAGATTTTTAAAAAATGCAGCACATCTTTACATAATATACCTCCTAGCATAGATACACGCAGCATAAACAAATGTAACACACCTTTGCCCAGTTAAAAATAATATTCTACAACAGCTTATTCCTGTTATTTGAAAAAGGGGCAGGAGTCTCTGTCATAAGCGGTCACTTCTCCATCCTCATCTCCTGGTGAGTAGTAGCTGGCCTCCCCAACCCCAGAACATTTCCTTTACTACTGAGAGCACACCACACTCCTGCTTCTCTCCTCCTCTGTCAATGCACCATGTCTCAGCACAGGGCTGGCCACGGCTTCTCTTCTCAGCCTCAACTCTCCTCTCAGTAATGACTCAACTCCTGACTCCAATGAGAATCTGGGTCTCCTTCCTGAGTCTGGACCAGGGAGGATGGTGCTCCCTGGAAGGCAGGCCCTGTCATCCAGGCAAGGCCTCCTGCCTCCCTGCTCAGGACGGGGAGCAAAGGGAGAGAGTGCAGCAGGTACAAGTGGGGCTTCCGCAGCAGCCCTCTCTGAACCCCAAACTAGTTCAGTTTAGCACAGAACAGTGGTTGATGGCAATTCGGTGCTCGACAGTGTTGTGGAAAATTAACGAGTACTCCGACTCTTTAGCATGATGCAATGGTACCTCTGGAGAAAAAGAAGGATTGAAGATGGGAGGGGCAGAAGGGAAGTATTGGACAGTTCTTGGGAAGTTGGGAGTGGGAGTTTGGGTGGGCTATGATCAAGATTTATTGTATACATGGGTGAAATTGTCAAATAATTTTTAAAAGGCGATTACTGCTAATAAATGTGCAGAAATTGGATTTCTTCATACTTGTATGGGAGAACTGGAGCCCCATATTGACAAAGGACGTGAAGCACACTCTTTTAATGTTGTCCAATTCCTTCTATTAACATATATGCCAGCCGCAGGCACTGGTGCTTTCCCATGGAGGAAGGGCCCCTACACAGGATGGAAAGTCCTAGAGAGCAGTGTTCTAGTGTCCAGGGAGTACTCCTGCTGGGCATGACCGTAGGCAAAAGGGGTTATCAGCCATGCCATTCTGATTTCTACTCATAAGCTGGTCCTGGGCAGCTTGCTTATCAGTAAGCCATTTTATTCTTGTGCCAAAAGCTAAATTCAAGCTCCTGGGATACTAAGCAAGTGTTCACACCCTGCCTCAGGCCCTGCCTGAATCCATTACCCTTTCCTCAGACCGCTCTTCAAATACAATGATTCCTGAATCCATTTCTGTCCATTAAGTGAGCAGGCTGTGCTTTTAAAAGCACAGCACTCACAGAATATGAACAAAGAGCCCCCTGCTGGAAAGACGATAAAAGATTTGCAGAGCCTGGGTAGTTTCTAGTGTACTTGTTCTTGGCTAGCACAGTGATGCTAACTGGAACTTTGCAGTCCCCTTAACTGACAGGTACTCTGTAGTGTTTGAGGAATGCTGGCCGTATACTGTACCCAATCAGTGACACTGTAACATGTCTGCACAGGACTTCTGGTGCTGCTCCCAGTTCAGTGGGCCTTACTCATGTGCCCCCATCTAGTGTGCACTTGTCCCTTTGTGTACCTGCTCCAGCACATGCCAGCTGCTGGTGCCTGTGATCTGTTGACAAGTGCACAATTCTGCCATTCCCGTACAAAGACATACACACACAAGCCATTGTGTTTGTAGAAGACTTTACTGACAATTGGTGAGATGACATGGGCTCACATAGCAAAAATGTAAATGTTACAGCAGACATCCTTGGGGAGGGGGTAGCAGGGCTTGGGTTACTTCTACCGCCTGGGCTCCAGCTGTGTAGGAAGGCCCCTCCCCGTTCTTAGCAAGTAAACAAAAACCAAACTGCAAAGCTTCTTTGGGGCTACCATCCTCTTTCACTCAGGGCCTCCTCTTTTTTTTTTTTTTTTTTTTTTTTTTGGTTTTACGAGACAGGGTTTCTCTGTATTGTTTTGGAGGCTGTCGGTCCAGCGCGGCCTCGAACTCACAGAGATCCGCCTGCCTCTGCCTCCCGAGTGCTGGGATTAAAGGCGTGCGCCACCACTGCCCGGCCTCTCCTCTTTATTTTGAAGACATCTCCATCCACTTCTTGCCTCTAAGACCCACAGTTCTCGACATGAAGGGCTGTCCCCTCACCATTCCAGCATGATTCTGCCTGATCATTATTGGCACCAATGCTGGGCCTTGGCAGCATCTTCCAGAGCAACCTTGATATCTTCCATCTCTATCCCACTTCCCACAACTGACAGATCACCTCTTCCTCCTTCCTCAGTCCAATGGAAGCTCCAGGGATTATTGTCCATCTTACTCACTGGCATGTCTTTAGTATCTGTAATGAGATTCTTCCTGCCAGCCTGGTCCCAGAGCTGTGTCAACCCCAAATAACACACAGAGACTCTATTAGTTACAATGCTGTCGGCCAATGTCCAGGGCTTCTCATAGGCTAGTTAAGTATTAACCAATGATTACACACACATACACACACATGTATTTTTTTCTATAAGGACTTATCTTTCTGAGGATGCCATGCTGACTCATCCTCTCTTCCCAGGATCACACAGCAATTCTTTACTCTTGACTACATTTCCCAGAATCCTCCTCAACTCCTAGTCCCACCTATCTTGCTTCCCTATTGGTCAACAGTGCTTTATTTATCAACCAATAAGACAAACATATACACAGAAGGACTTCCCCCATCAAGTATCCAACACACCTCAGAATTAAATATGCACAAAGTAAGTAAAAAGAAAATACATTATCAAAGCAATTTAGCTGAGCTCTCCAGGCTTCACTTTCTTCATCTTTAAAAAGGACCACCAGGTTTGCTGGAGTCTTAATTTCTTGAAAGTTGAGGCAGGTTCACAGGAGCCTAGAAGTTTGAGATCAGCACTGGCAAGAAAGTGAGACCCCATCAGTGACACTGTCAAGACCATGGAGATGTCCTAGTCAGGTCTGTGTAATGTGAGCTCTCATGGCGTGGGTTCAAAGGCAGGCATGACTAAACCATGGCACAGAAGGAGGTAACCACTAGTGATATCTTAGAAAATTAGCCATAGGTGGCCAATGGAAATAGAAAGGACATTACTAATCATGGGACCATGAGTGCTAATGCCAAATGCAGGAGGTTATGGGCATCGGTGAGTCAGGAAGGCTAGAGTCAGGTTTGTGGGAAGAAGCAGGTGGGACAGCAGAAGCAGCTCCCCATCCCACTGGCCCAGGTAGCACTGCACCAGCAGAGCAGATAGAACTGCTTTCTTCTATGGCAACTCTTTGGATAGTAGGCCTCTGAGGTCTAGTAACCCAACATCATTATCAACTCACCTCTTGTGCTGATAGGAAAGGGTTGTTGTGTCTGCCATTTTCCCACAGCTAAGAGGCTGCCTCCACACTACCCTCCAGTAGCCTGTATGAGGTGCCCAGGGCTGGCAGGCCACAATACTTCTGGAACCCCAACCCAATCAGAATAGGAAGGGAAGGGAGTAGAAAGCTGGGGATGCTTGGGGACAGCAAACACAGACTCATCTCTTCAAAGGCAAGCCCACACCACTGTCTTGGAGACTTAGTGCAGGCACCTTGGTTTTCTCTACTCTCCTTGGGAGCAGATCTCTATGCATACTAAAGTCATACACCAGTATGAAGCTCAGCTGGAGTTCATTACATTTTTTTCTGATGCAGACGGTGGGAGCAAGAGTTGGAGTGGTCAAGAATATGGATTAAAGGGATTGGGGAGGCTTGCTTGTCTTCCCCAACTAGAATAAGTCAGACTTCTCCCATCTGTTCATCTAAAAACTACTGGAACTGTTGCTCATGGGAGGAACACTTGTCCAGCCTGTGCCAAGCCCTGGGAACCACCCCCAGTGCCAAAAAATAAAAGAAATAACATCAATAAATATTTCCCATCCCCCAATGGCTATCTATTCTTTCCTCCTCCCTCTGATGTCTCCTATCTGGGGAGAGACGTCAATTGTTGTGTGGACTACCCAAGCATACTGCGCAGCTCCTGCCTGGCTCCTCAGTTGGAGTCAGAGTTAGTGCCAACACATATTTCAACTGGTTGTGCTCAGCACTGGAATGCATTGTTCATCCATGAGGTTGATTAACTTTATACCTATTTTACAGACAGGAAAACTGAAATACAGTGCAATTAAGTGACTTGCCCTAAGACTGCACACTGAGTTATAGTGTGGTCTGACTCCAGAGCCCTTGCTCCTTATCTCCAGGCTGAAACATCACCCTGCTCATTTCTGCATTCCCAGGACAGCTCTGTGAGAGCTGGGCACACACAAACACCCCAGCTGGATCTTCCATTTCTGCTCCAGACTGACTACATTATGTGGAAGAGCCATGAAGGAGCAAGAGAGAATCAGACCCAGGTGCTCCAGAGGGAGGGGAGTGAGGGATGGAGATCAGATCACAGTGATGGAGTTTGCACCAAGTATTTTATAGATTCCATCTCCTGTTGAAACAACAATAGGTTTTGGAAGTCAGGTGCTGTGTAGAGAAAATGGCTGAAGGGCTGTGCTTCATGGGCGACAGAGCTTGTCAAGCTCAGGCAGCTAGAAACCCTGGCACTGTAGCCAGAACTGCTGAACCCAAATTCCCTCCAAATACCAGGGAACCCATGGCTCACCTCAGAGAGCACAGCAAACCATGGGGAAGATATGAGACAGTCTGGGACTAGCTCCTAGAAAGTCACCTATAACAGCTAAGACTGAGTCAGGACAGACACAGTCAAGCATTGGGCAGGACTTAGAAATCACTTGACTTTCATAGTATTTAACTTGCAAGACCTTTGCTACACACCTGGTTACTGATACCCAGAACCTCTCTTAATGTTACTTCCCAGCTTCAGCATGGTCACCCTCTGCTCTTCCTGTATTCATCTAAAACCATGTCCCAGCCATAATCACCATAGGCAGAAGCAAGCTACTTTTCAATAACTGTCACCTCCACACCTAAATTCCAGATCTGGTGAGAGTGGTGCGGTCTTTCTTGGAAGCTATCTCAGGGCCATGCATGTAGGCCTGGCTAGACAATACACACACAATCATGCACAGCAGTCAGGGTTGATGGCCTGCATGCCATTTGTCTTTAAGTCCCCAGTATAACCAGCAGCTCCAGGTGAAGGTTAGGGTGGCAGCGCAGGGACCTCCAGTGTTGACTGCCAGTGTCTGGTGAAGTTCCTGGCTGAGTCTACTGGGGCTCTTGGGTACCTCCTTCTCCTCAGCTCTTCCAGCTCAGACAGCCATTTCAGTTCCTTTGAAAAATGCAAGACACCCGGGTTTGCTGGGGGTCTGACATTGCAGATCAGTCAGTTTGCTCCTGGAGGTAAGTCATGAGTACTCTGCTCAGGATTTGGGGTACTTCCAGGGGTTGTCCCTGCAGGGGTTCTAAGACCCTGATAACCACACTTGTTTCTTCTCTGACTCTTTCTTTCTGTCATCAGCTCCTTCTGTCAACAGATAGGGTGTTGACCTCCAAGTCACTTGGTTAACACCTCAAAGATGTGTGCAACACGCAGAGACCTTTCCTACAAGCCTCTGTTAATGATTTCCTACAGGGGAGACAAAAATGTGATGATCAAAACCAGGGACAGGGTTGCCAGATGAAGCTCTCATCAGACTATACTCCTGGAGCAGGTGCTTCAGCTGTGAATGGAGGAAAACATAGGCTTTTGGGAAGGTGACCAATGGACATAATTTGAGTGGTGTCCACTCTCAGTGAGCACTGGATACTAGCACTGAAGATACGACCACCTACCCAAAGCTCTTCCTGGTTCTCAAATGAACCAGGGAATCCTGGTAGGTTCTCTCCAGACTTGCTGGGTTCTGTTCCTCTCTTGTTCCTTCCCCAGGAAGTACAGAAACTCCTAGGTAGGACATTAGTTTGCCTGAGACTGCCATACAACATCTTTGTCTGCAGCAACCCAAGAACAGACTTTGTGGGAGATACCACAATGCCATCATTGTCAAGTAGGAGGAAATGGCAAGAGTTTAGGGACTCAGGGAGCAGAGCCATCCTTTGAAGTTGGTGGGCATTAAATCGGGCTCTTCGGCTTCAGAGTGACAGGACAGGCAGACACTATTCCAGAGGAGAACAGCTTAGACACTTGGAAGTAGTGGTAATAGATGACATGGGGCAGGTGCTGAACATGAAGCTGAGGTGGAGGAGGGACCCAGGGACCTGAGTGATATGAGTGATGGCATTTCCCTGTGCCTGAACCTTGGTAGCTATCACACACACACACACACACACACACACACACACACACACACGCACGCACGCACACACACACACACACACACACGCACGCACGCACACACGCACGCACACAGAATAAAGGTCTTAAAATAAAAAATTGAAAACAGACTCACAGTGTGACAAAAAATTATTAAAAAATATAGCCCTTTTGCTACATTTGTCTGCAACTACAGCTGTATTCACACACCTGTCCTTGACCATACACGTTTCAAATATTTTTGTCTCACTCTTTGTTTTTAGTTCTCACTATAAACCTTGCTAAAAGGCAGAAATGATGATGCCACAGCCTAATGTTATACTGTCTTGGCATTTCCTCTGCCAAGTAAATCTGTCTACTGCTTTTTAAAATTCAGATTCACTCAAATGCCAGTAGACCATAGATATTCTTTTCCAGAATGTAACACAAATGCCTCACACAAATCCCAGTACAACTTGGTCCCCATCTAAAAGCAATGAGCAGTTCACTGTCTGCACTTTCATAGGCATTCTGGCTGTTTACACTCTTACCAGACCCATTAAAGTCCACTTAGAGCACACGGGGACTTCTCTAGCAGCATTACTTCCACAAGTGGGTTCCAAAGGCCTATGAACCACCTAATCAGGCTTATCACTGAACCAGCCTGGCCTCACTGGTACCAAGCTTTTGTACCAGCTATTTTGCATCATTGTGATCCAACATAACTAAAGATAGGGAAAGCTTATGTTGGCTCATGGCTTCAGAGTTCTCAGTGTGAGAAGACATGGGGCACTGGAGAGACTTGTTCACATCCTGGCTGATCAGAAAGCAGACAGTGTAAGCTAGAGCCAGGGTGCATATAACCTTCAAAGGCCAACTGCTAGTGCTCTATTTCTGCCAGCCAGGTGCCACTGCTTAGTCTGCACAGTCTTTAAAGTACTGCCACGCCTGGTCTACAGAACAAGTTCCAGGACAACCTCCAAAACAATACAGAGAAACACTGTCTCGAAGAAAAAAAAAAAAAGAAGTACTGCCACAAGTTGGGGACCAGGCATTCAAAACATGAGCCTGCAGGGAAAAAAAGTGAAGATTCAAACCATAATAGATGCTAACTCCCCTAGCAATGTGATCTTCAATTTTTGTCTCTAAGACATAGAATTTCATAACCTAAGGCTTTGTTCTTGTTGATCTGTAGGCATGTACACCTGTATTAGTAGTTTCCATCTTAATAAATTTATCAGAAGCATAAGGACAGAAAGCAGACTAGAGGACTGGCAGACAGCATGCTGGGAAGTCCTCCATGTCCCGTCCTCTAGACAGCGTGTGGCTGATCTCTGCTGATGCTCCTCCAGAAATGGCTCTTAGGTGGGCCTCTCTCGGCAATACTGGGTTAAGACACCATTGCTCTTTTCAAATCTCTGACTCAGTCAGTTGCTCCATTTCCTCAGCACCATCTTCCCTTCCTCGGCTTCATCCTAACTACTCTGAGCATCATCTTCAAAGCACAGGTCTGACTGTACAACTCTAGTCCAAACCAGCCACAGAGCCACTTGGCTACCAGGCATGGTCTGAGCCTCCAGCCTTGCTGGTGGACCCTGCTTCTCCCCAGTCCTCTCCAGGGCTCATTACTAAGCTCCAGACAAGATGTTCTTACTTACTTCCCCAGTTCAATTGAGCTCCTCAGGAACTTACCCTTTCTGCTTCCTGTGTCCTGACCACGTCTGAGGGCTCCAAGTCTAATGCTACCTCAACCCAGCAGGTGGAGGCAAGTGCTAGATGGGCCAGCTCAGCAGGGGGAGCGGTATTTCTGAAGCTGTGGATCTTCTAATGTTCAGGACTCTTCACCCCAGACACCACCCACTGCTACACTCTTCTCCTCTAGGGTCTATTGGGCTCAACACTTCAAGATAGACCCTGGAGGGCCAACTAGCACAGTTTCTTGCCTGGACAGGTTTCCTCCCTGTGTGTGTGGCCAAGCTCACAGCAGATAGTGGGGGGGGGAGCAGGCCAAGGGGGCAGGGGACTGCCCATGACTAACACAGACTCTCGCTGTTAGCAAATGTTCCTCACTCCATTTCTCTGCCTTTGAGCCCCTCCCACATGAGGGCAGACCAGGGGATGGCTACTAGGGTGCCCTGACCTCTGATATTCCATCCTCTGATTTCAGCTCAATCCCTAAGGCAATGGTGCTCAAAGAAGCCTGGCCCTTAGCATCCAGAAGGCAGAGCTCAGAACAGGCAGCTGAAACTCACTGCTCTAGGAGCTTATGGCTTGTGGTTAGGGAAAGTTGGTGCTTTTCATTATAATAACAACCATGATAGAAAGATCAATAGGCTGTGTACAGCTCAAGAGTAGTATGTGTTAGCATGTGCAAGGCCCAGCATGCATACCACACACACACACACACACACACCAAGAAAAGGTTCCTATCTCCCATCCCCATGCTGGTTAAACTCTAATTTTATAGACCATGACCTCTGAAGATCCAGCTCACCTCAAGTTATGCTTGCAATTGTTCCCTTCCACTCACCTTTCCCCATAACTTCCCTGCTCCCTTCTGCCTTCCCTATTCACACAGGAGATGACCTTTCTTTTCTCTGCCTAACAGACCCTGCCCACTTCCACAGTCAGGCCTCACTGCTGTTCTGCGTATAGGCAGAGGGTGAACTAAAGCATCTCGGGTTGGCCCCCAGGTCTCTATCCCAGCACTAGCCTCTTGGGAGAGCCAGCCCCTGGACCAAGTTGTAGGTGAGACCAGGGCTGGGCATTCCACCGTGGCCTACAGTTTTCAGGATTGCTCCATAAGGCTTGTGTGAACATGCCCATGCTGGGACAATAAGGTTTTACATCCCTGAGTGGCCTGGGAGCAGATGAGGGTGACAACTTGTGAGTGGGAGGCAGAAGGCTGCAGCTGAGTAGTGGGAGTGTCAGGAGCATGGAGGAGGCCATGGGTCCCATTCCCAGTACTGTAAAATGAACAAGCACATAAGAACAGACAAAAAAAATGAATAGAGCCAGGTGTAGCACTAAAAAATAAGTAAGTGCTTAAGACAAAAAGTGGTTCCTGGGTCAGCAGAAGTGAAAAGGAGTAGGAGGAGGGGTCCACATGGGCTCCCAAGCCTGGTGTCAGACATGGCCAATGTTCCTTGGTTAAGTTCAGTCACATGCCTGAAAGACTTCCTGCCCTTATTGCCTGTTGGCCTGGCCTCCCCTCTGTACTCCTTCTGTGTGTTCTAGGCCCTGGAAGGAAGATGTGAGGCAGTTCTTTGTCTCATGGTCTCTGAGAAGGGCAACCTGTGGGCCAGCTCTAGCTACCCAACACCTCCCCAGGAGTGAGGTGAGGAGAGCAGAGCAGGCCAAGTTCATGGGTGGGATTGTTTAAGATGGACATGGGCATTCTCTTTTAGGTGGTCTGCCTGGCAGCAGTGACAGACACCACCCACTGCTACACTCTTCTTCTCTAGGGTCTATTGGGCTCAACACTTCAAGATAGACCCTGGAGGGCCAACTGAGGACTAGCACCTGGCCAGAAACCCAAGGCTCAGGTGACACACTCTGTGCCAGAAACCCAAGGCTCAGGTGACATACTCTGTGCCACTTCTCTTGCTGATCCCAGCACTCCTTCATCCCAGGTCTTGCTCGGGCCTGGATGCCGCAGGCCCCACCAGAGCTTCTCAGCTAGGGGTGTGGCTCTCTGCAAGAGCCTAGCCTAGCATATAGAGAAGGTGCTAGCTTCTTCCCCAGTGTGGAGAGAAGGGAGAGGACAGCATATGAGGGAGAGTGGAAGGAAATGACCAAGAGCAAAGGACCTCCTTCTATCACCTAGCTCTCCAGCCTTGGCCTCATTCCAGGGCTTGGTTCCCACCCGCAGGACTCTTGTGTGTGCCCCTATCTCCCTCTGCTTGCCTCCTCCACAGCTAGGACACCAGGCCCCGTCTTTCCACCATCCCAGGGCACTGAGTGAAGGCAGGAAGAAAAGGCTCAGGGCCTACCTTTGATGAAGACCAAAATATATTAGGGAATCTCTGTTCAAATGGTCCCTTGAAGCCATACTTCTTCTACGGGAATTTGTCAGATCTGGTAGATGTCCAGGACTTCGACATAAGGGCCAGTGCAGCTGGGCTTGACTGGCAGCTGGGCTTGACTGGCAGCTGGGCTTGACTGGCCAATGTGCACGACAGGTGCTTGTTTTACTGTGGATTGAAGAGTATATGGTCTGAGAGTAATTGCCCAAAGGGTAGAGTAGAGAGACAGCCCTAGTGCTCACCCCATTTACTACCTGGGACAAACTACTTCACTTTTGTTTACCCTTCCCTACTGTAGAAAGGAAGACAATAAAGGTTTGCTTTCACACAGAGCTTTCTGAGGAAGCATATATTTGGTTAATAAAGTCTTCAGTTTAATGATTACACTAAAGAACATCAGAGCATTCTTTGGGCATGCCTGCCTCCTTCACAGGCTTCTCTGGTCTTTACAGATGGTTCTGATTACTCAGGATACCAGCCACTGAAGAGGACAGAGCAGGGCCAGCCTGCTAGTGTCCCAGAAAGTGTGGGTCAGACATCAGAGGCCCCTTAGCTTTCTGTGGTCACCCCCAAAACTAGAGGGTGGAGGGCAGGAAAGGAGGAACAGGGCTGGGAAGACAGGCCACCAGGATGAGAGGCAGGAAATAAGGGACATGGAAGAGCCTGAGATCTCAGAGACACACAAAAAGGAAACTTGAGGTAGAAAGAAAGCAGGACAGGCAAGGGGAGGCTAGAAGGGACCAATGAAGCTAAATTAAACCCTAAAGAGGAACAGGTTTAAAAAAAAACTAGAGGAGAGGGTAAAAGGCAGTGTTTCTGGGATTGGGGACCTACCCTGTCCAGGACTCACTGGCAATCCAGGAAGCAGAAAACTCCAGGATCCAGAGCTTGGAGTTGGTCACACTGTTGCCCTGCCACTGGGGTGTCAGGGGTGCAGAGAGGTTCAGCAGCAGACTCATACCCAGCACAGGGTGAGAGAAGCACTTGGAATCTGTAATGCCTTCTGTGAGGACTCAGCCATGCCAGCAAGAGCCCTGCCTGCTAGCCCTGCCCAAGCACAGGCTGGGGCATTGGGAGCAGCCTTCAGTGTTGAAGGGCTCACATCATCATTGGATAGGTCCAGGCCTCTACACAGGCCCAAACTTAAACCAGGTGTGTTCTGGAGGTTCTCAGGTCAACTGAGAAGGCAACCAGCGCAGGCACTGAGGGACTCTTACCCTTGAGGCCCATCTCATCAAAAAAGGAAGAAAGAGCTCCTAGAAGCTCTGGGAGCAGGAAGTTTCCTGTAGGGCTCACTGTTGCCTCAAACCCACAGAAATGCCACTTGCCACACAGGGCTGGATAAGTGAATTCAGTACCACAGAGGAGCTTTCAGTGCTCCTGGAGCTGGTCAGGAAGGTAAGGCTTGAAAGCAGCCATGAAGTTCAAGTACAAGCCCTGGGTGAAGACAGGGAAAGAAAAGCTAGCCCGAGCCTGAAACTAGCAGGGGTCAGTGCCTGGGGCCAAGCTATGTGAGTCTTAAGGCCAGAGGAGGTCAAATTCAGGCTGGTGGCAGGCCACAAGCGTAAACAGCCAGCCAAGGGTGCAAGTCTAACAAGATGGATTCTATCCTTAAATTGAAGAGTTGAAGCAGGGCTGGGAAATGATCAGAACTGCTTTTTTGTTGCTGCTGTTATCAACTTGTGATATCAGGAATAGAACCCAAGGCCTTGACAAGCACTTCAGTCAAGCCTCCTATCACTGGGCCATACCCAGCCTAGCTTTGCATTTTTGCACAGTCCTACTTCAGTGTGGCCTACATCATATCACAAGGCCAGACTTGGAAATTTTCCAAGGTGAAACTGGACCATGAAGTAAAGAAGAAAGGAAAAGGCATAATAAGAAGAAAACATCAATAGTTGGTGGTGGCAGCCTATAAGGCAGAACTGTAGATCACTCAGATTTTCCTTCTGGAAGTCTGGGGGCCACTTGTACCTTGAGCAGAAACAATAAACTCAGGCACAGGGTTTAAAAAAAAAAAGCGGAGACCAAGAACAGTGGCCAGGAGAGTGGCCAACCATGCTGAACACACCAGCCCATGCTTACTGCAGCCACCGAATCTTCCTTCCTTCCTGCAGCCCCAGTGCACCTAAGAACTGCTCTGCACACAGCACAGAACACCCACAAGGATATACAGATACCAGCTTCAGAGGCACACGCAGACACAAGCAGGAAGAACACCCCGGATAGACAGAGGTCTGCAGAGCCCTGGGTGGGCAAACAGTGGCCATCTAACCTGGCTGGGACAGGTACAAGGAACCATGGCCCAGGAGGAGCAGTCTAGCCACAGCTCAGAGGCAGAGCAGGGAGCACAGTGGACAGGATCAGGGAACACAGTCACTGAGTCTCAGAAGTCCTGCAGATCTACTGCAGAGCTCAGATCTCGTCAAGAAGGCACCACGGGGCCAGGAAGCATTTAAGCCTGGAAATCGCATGATGGGAGGGATGCTTTGAGAATCTCGGGCAGCCAGTTAAGAAGCCACCCAGGGATGGAGGCAAAAACTAGGAGGATCTGAGTACAGATCGCATCAGCATGGACAGAGGGAAGAGAACAGAAAAGATGACGGACGTGAGGACTGGGCCCCGCTCAGTGATGCTCCCTTTGTGGGTAAAAGAAGAGGTGATCAGACACTAGGTGTAGCAGGAAAGCCTGAGAGGCCGCAACCGGAATGTCACAGCTGGTCACTCTCCCAGGAAGGTTGAAAGCCTAGCCTGGACTGCAGCGTGGAAGGGGCAGAGGGAGCCTCTGGAGAGAAGGTCAGAGCTGGTTCACTGAGTGTGTCCATGGGTGTATGCAATGCATTGCAAGGTCTCCTTCATGTCTCTGCAGGTGCAACAAAGATAAGAATCAAGGATATCAAAAACAAATCAAGGATATCAATGTTGTCCAAATATGTTCTGAAATGTTGGGCTTCTAGCTACTGGTCTGTGGGCTTAGCCACATAACCTCAACCTTTAATGCAAGATTTTCTTCATGGAAGCAATGTTTTGGATCCTGAGAGGTACCGGTGCCCATAAAGTGGGCACAGATTGGGTAACTCATGCCTCCCACCACCCTAGTCACAGGCCAATGTGCACCCTTTCTCCACACGTGCTGGTTGCCGTGAACCTTCAGCAGTCATTGAGCATGGGAACCACACAGGGCTTTCTACCACACATGCTCTCCTCAGCCCAGATAACTCTTAATAACTGTAGTTTGTGGTATCTACATCTTAATCTGTTTAGGAGTGATCCCTGAGCCTCCCTGTCATTTCCAACTGCCACTGGAACCCTAGTCAGGTTCCTCAGTCCCAAGTGAAGACATGGATTAAGAATCACCTTTCCCCATCCCTGTAGGCCCCCCAAGATGGTGTTGGTAGAGTCAGCACCAAAGTTATCAGGGACAGGTATACTGGTCTGATGTGGTCACTAGCAACTGAGGAAGAAAATGAAAATCTTTGCTGAAAACAGGAGGAATGCCCTCTAATCTAGAAAAATCCTGCAAAAACAGACAAGTAGGAAAAACCAAAGAAAGTTCTATCAGAGTTGGCTGGCTATTTTCTGTGTTCTAGTAGGATAGCTATGTAGAACTCATCAGTGGCCTGTAAAAGGCAGGGATGGTATCTTTCCCATTCAGTGACCTGTTTGTTGTGGCCAAAGTCAAATACCACAACACCTTTAAGAAAAAAATGGCTGACAGTTAGGCAGCAAGCTATATGGATAAAGTGGGAAAAGGCTACACCAATGTCATGACATCCTTGGCTTGGAGGTGTAGGGTGGCACTGTAAACTTTAAGCCACTTTTAGCTCTCCAGAATAAGAGGACAAATGGCTTTCTTAGCCTTCCTTGTTTCTCAACCACAGTTCTGCTGCCCCCAGGAAATCCCTAATAATTTTAGTTTGTGGTATCTACAGTCTTAACCTATCCAGACAGAGAAGAACAACCGAAAGTGCATTCACCTCAAAATATTCACCAACCATCTCATAAGTGGGTTAATTACAAAACTATAACAGTAATGAATTCAGACACAGGAAATGAAGTTAGCATCATGCCCTTGTCAATGCTAGGGAAGCCGAACTTGAGTCTGGGCTTGGATTGCTCCACCATCCTAACACTTAGCACTCTGAAGGCTGACTAGTTCTGAAGAAGACAACCAGTTATGGATCAATTCTGGAAATTGCAGCACCATACCCACTTATGGGGAACAACGATCCTATGGAATCTAAACAAATCATTTCAAGACACTGAATTCCTGCCACAAGAATTAAAGGACTCAGCCTGGCAGTGGTGGTGCACACCTTAAATTCCAGAACTCAGGAGGCAGAGGCAGGAGGATCTCTGTGAGTTTGAGGCCAGCCTGGTCTACAGAGTGAGTTCCAGTATAGCCAAGGCTATGCAGAGAAGCCCTGTCTTGGGGTGGGGGTGGGTAATCAAAGGACTTTGAAACCCTTTCCAACTCCTACAAGTCTTTCTTCATGAAAGAGCCGCCCAAGAGATGCAGTGCCAGTTCATCCTGAAGCCCAGCCACCCAATGACAGTCCAGCAACGGAGAAATTCAGGTCAGAAGACACTTAAGAGGCCTGCTGTGAATGGGCCTGTTGCTGGTCTCCCAGAACTCCCCTGCACAACTTACCCACACTGCCTTCCTCTATGTTGAGACAGCTCTTTGTACTTTCCCTACCAGATATTTGTGAGAATGACAGCTGTCCAAACTTATTGTGGATATGTTCTGCTGTCTGAATTTTAAAAAGAAAAAAACATGTCGCCTCACAACAGAACTCTTCAGGTTGCTGACCAATTTGAGTTCCTGCAGAGAGCTAAAGGAGAAACTAAAATCTAAGATCCAAGTACACCTAGACTATAAACCTGAAAACTATTATAGAAAGAATATTTTCATCAAGTCTGTGATATGTGAGTATATATGATTAAGAGAAAATTACTGCAACCCAAAGAACATTAGACCAGCTTCCAAAGACCAATGTTACTTTCCTGAGATACCTGTCTAGAGCATTACACAAGATCGAATGACACTCCTCATCCCATCGGATGGCTGTGTCTAACTTAGCAGTATGTACCTCCAAGCATTCTTTGGCCTCCTACTTCCTCCAACTCAGAACTAGAAAATGCATTCGCAAAATATATTTTTGCTGCTTGCATAGTTTCTAACCAAAAGGCACTGTAGGATATTTATAGAATAAATAACTTCATTTGTGGGAAAGGGTTCAGTTAGATGTGACCCTAGAAAGAATGCCTCACATACGTCTTACTTCCAAATGAATGACTCCCCTCTGATAGGTTGGGAAATAAGATAAATGTGGATTTTGACAACCCATGCATTGGGTAGGTAAAGAAACATGGCCAGGGTGGGAGAAGCATGGGCTCTATCTTAACCCTAATGGACTATAATGTCTATCAGCGCACATGGAAGGCTTTTTAGCCCTGAGCAATACTGACTCCAATCATCCTAAAGATGCAGACATTCAAATGAAACAGCCTCCTGAGTCCAAGCCAGTGAATATTACTGTAACATACAAAGAGGATTCAATGGAGACACATACCAAGTGCATATCTGTCCCCAGCTGTAGCAATAACAATGCTGCTTGGAGCCCAGCATCAGCTGGGCAGATGCAAAGCTTTCCCACCTCTGGGCATTTTACCAGAAAAGGCTTACAAAAGCAATGCAGTGATTTCAGAAATTATGAAGACTATCTGAGACAGAACTGGTCCCCCAGGAAAGGAGGGAACACATGTTACCATTAGAGCTCTCTCCCAGGCACTGACACCAGCAAGAAAAATGTCACTAATGAAGCAGTAACGGGAAAGGTCTCTCTACTGATAAGGAAATCAAATGATACTTTTCACTTAGTCCAAGCCAATGGTCATTTCAGTGGTGTCTTAACAGTCATTTGTCCTCCCAGAATCATTCCATGTACCAAACCTTGATGCAGCTACTCCTGAATGCGCAGAGAGAAGATGCCCTTCAGTGTTCAAGTACCCATGGGTGCTGTTCAGGTCCCAACATAAATGATCAGAACTCTACCCAATGGTCCTGTTTCAAGATTTATTCAAAGAAACAACATACATCTAGCTATGAATCTGCTTTTTGTTTTTGTCTTGGCAAGGAGTGGAAGATTATCTCAAATGGAAAAAGCAAAAGCTTAGTACAATCAATCATGGGGTTTGAGGTGGGCGAGAGCATTGCCCCAAACCCAAACACTGGCAGTCTTTACCCTCAGCCAGAGGGCTAGCCTAGCTCTTCCAACTCATCTTTCCCAGATATTTGCCCATCTGGGTTACCAGCCAGAACCTAAGGAAGTACTTTTTCTTATATTTCTGAACACTGGGCAGTTGAAACTTCCAATAGATTGCACTTCTTGGACTAAAAACCAAGAAGAGTATCCCACCAACTTCAAAAGTCCCAGCCTCCTTTCTGGACTACTTGATCTCTCACCAAAGCAAGCAAACAGTCATTCGTATTATACAAAAAAGAAAATAAAAAGAAAGGAAGGAAGGAAGAAAGGAAGGAAGAGAGAGAGAAGAAAGAAAGAAAGAAAGAAAGAAAGGAAAAAGAAAGGAAAAAAGAAAGATAGGAAGAAAGAAGAAATTGTACAGTGACATTTACCAATGTGTTCTGTCTTCACTCAAGCATGTAGTTTGGCCAGTTTGAAAAACTGGACCCTCAAAAAGAAAGCAAAATGGAGGTTGGGATATAGCTCAGTTGGTAGAATGCTTGTTGAGCATGAACAAAACCCTGGGTTTGATCCATAGAAACCAGGCATGGTGGTGTCCACCTGTAATTCTGTCACTCAGGAAGCAGCAGCAACAGGTGAAGCATCCAAAGACAGCCTCTGCTGCTATGTAAAAGAGATAGGAGAGAGAGAAAGAACAAAAGCAGCCAGACCAGAAGAGAAGAATGGGTTCCCTAAAAGGTCCTTCACCTTCCAGTGTTTTTGGGGTTTCAGAAGCCAACTCAGGGCAAGAAAGGTACAGACACATCTCTAAAAGCAGCCAAAGGACCTGGAGCCGTGTGACGGCCCAAGGACACCGATCTCATCCTATTAGGACTCAGAGAAACCCTCCAGCTCTTTATTCAGCCAAGTAGAAAGAAGATCCAAGCCTTTCATGAAGTTCCACAAGGGAGAAGAAAGCAGAGGATATGTCTTCCTAATGTCCTTCCTTAAAGAAGAGCCTCAGCCGGCACTGTGACTGTGGATGAGGTGGCCAGGCCCGATACAGAGCTTACAATGGCCAGTGATCATGTAGACAGGCATTTACCAAAAGACATTTAAGCACAATACAAATCTGTTGTCTACAAGAACAGAACTGAGCTAATAATAACAAAGAAAATAATTGTTGTGACCACCTTTATAAGAGAGCTGCAATAGGCAGCAGAAGAAATATCAATGTTACTGAGATTATTTGACAATATTCAGGCTAAAACTTCTATCCTTTACCATCTGGGAGGCTTTTCCTTAGGCTAAAGAAAGCATACTCTATAGATGAAGCTTGCCTATGTCAGCACTCTGACTTTATTAATGTATGGAGAAGACAGTGACATTAAATGAGGGATTGGACAGGGTGAGAATAGAAGCGCAGAGAGCGTATCTGCCTGCCATTGAACACTTTCAGTGCGTAGGCAAGGCCAAGATAGTAAGAAGAAAAGCATGTACAGTCATGAAGGAAATCATGCCAAACCCTCTCCCTGGATGCCAGACAGTGGCAATTTCTGTGGCATCTGCTAGTCACATCGCCACATGGTTATTCTAAGGAATTAAGTTTGTTGAGGAAACGAGAGTGATTCAAGAGCCACTGACACCATGACATCACAGTTATTCCTTTTCTTTCTTTTTTTTTGTTTTTGTCTTCATTTTTTTTGTTTTTTGAAACAGTCTCACTTGTAGCTCAAGCTGGTCTCAGACTCACAGCCGTCCTCCTGCCTCAGCTTCCCAAGTGCTGGTATTACAGGCAAGAACCACTGAACCAGGCTTGATGTCACATTTTTAAAGCAGCTTCCTTGGTTAACTTGTTTTCCCTTCGTGCTGAATTGATTTGTAAAGGCTTCAGGAAACAGCTGTAAGGAGAAAGGAGGAATGTTTTCTATGCTCTTCCCAAAGGTGTCTGTGCTAAGAACAAGTTCTGGAAATGCCTTTCCTATTCTGAAAGTGGCCTCTACATAGCATAAGCTTTCCTAATGCCAAGAAAAAGACGGCTGCGTGGACATGGCAGAAACAATGATTTATGGGTGATGTCTGGGTGGCATGGCTATGGGTATGAGTATGTCATGTTAGGGATTTGGGGGTATTAAAATCTGAGAGAGGGCCGGGCAGTGGTGGTGCACGCCTTTAATCCCAGCACTCGGGAGGCAGAGGCAGGTGGATCTCTGTGAGTTCCAGGCCAGGCTTGACCGACAGCCTCCAAAACAATACAGAGAAACCCTGTCTCATAAAAACCAAAAAAAAAAAAAAAATCGGAGAGAAGAATATTACTCATCAGGACCTCAAAAGAAAGGCTTATCAAGGAAGCCAGGGGAAGGTTTTCACTAAGTTCAAGCCAGAGGCCAGTTCAGTGGTAGCTCCTAGTTCTCCCAGTGGTATCCCCATATCCTCTAAGTATGGACCCAGAAATGGGCCTTTGATGGAGCTATATTTGGATACCTCCAGTTATACCCAGTGATTTGAACTTGCATTACATGACTTCTTTTGTCAGCAGACAAGCTTTTTTTTTTCCTACTGCCATGACTGGTGACATTTTCCTTAACCACTAAGCCATCTATCTCTCCAGCACCCGCCCCCCATTTTCTTTTTTTTTTTCTTTTTGGATTTTAATTTTTTATGTGTGAGTGTTTGACTGCATGGGTCTGCATGTGCTCCATCTACACTTTTGCCTGCCTGGGGTACTTTCAATTTAAATGGGCCTATGGAGTTGTTTATCCCATTATAAATGGAGGAGCATCTGTAGTGTTATTACTGACATAATTAGTTAAAATGAGGTGATACTAGCCACATATGTACATTTGTAATCATGGTACATGAGAGGCCAGCAACAGGAGAATCTAAACTTTGAGGCCATCCTCCTACAGACCAGGCTGGCCTAAATTTACTGTGTAGCTCAGGCTGGAATCAAACTCCTGGCAAATTTTTCTTTATCTGCCTCCCAATTGCTAGAACTATATATGTGAACTGGTATATGTGATCTTTCATTTATTTGTTTATTTTATTGCTATGCTGAGCATGAAATCTAGGACTTTGAGCATGCTATGCAAACACTCTACAACTGAGCTATATCTCCAGGCCATGACAGGTGTTTCATAACAACAGAAAAAACAAGACACATGCCACCACACAGAGCTAGACTTTCTTCATTTTAACTGAATAACTGGCTACCTAGAATAAAAGCTGTATTTCCAATTTGTCTTCAGGCAGGAAGTGACCACATATTAAAGTTTTACAATTGTGTGTATGTGTGTGTGTGTGTACATATGCACCAAAGTGTGTATGTGGAGGTCAGAAAACAACTTGAAGAAATTCATTCTCTGCTTCCATCGTGGGTTCTGAGAATCAAACTCAGATCATTAGGCTTGGTGACAAGGACCTTTATGGGCTAGGCTACCTTGCTGGCCCACATACTAAGTTTTTACCACAATACATATGCATCAGAAGTGTGAGTAAATTTTAGGAAGTTTTGTGAAAGGTACAGAGCATGCCTTTATCCTTTCCTTTGTAGTCTCTCTACTCCATAGAACATCCACATAATCTTCTTGATCACACGACGTCCTTTAGTTAATGGAATGTAAGTATCTAGGATATATAGCACACTTAGCCAGAGGCCTCCCATGAATTTCTGGGGGTTGGAAAAACAGCTCAGTGGCAGACTGCTTGTTTAGCAAGCATAGGGTCCTTGGCTTGGGTCCTGGCACAGAGTGGAGAGACCACCTGAGTTTTTGTGACTTGGTCCCTGTGTGTTTGCTTTCTACTATGAGGAAATCAAAACCTAGTGATAATTGCTCTTTTATTCTGGGTCTTTGAATAGGAGATATATAGAACTGATTTAAATTTGACTTGTATCTGGAATACAGCCAAAATAGCCACATCTCCATTCCTGCTAGCTCCAAGTTTTTAATTAGTGAGAAGAAATAAGCAAGCAAGCAAACAAAAAAAGCTGTCCATACACCACTGAATTCATAAGGGCAATTTGTAGGAACTAAACTCTAGGGGGTTTTTTTGCTCGAAATTTCTCTTTATCAAGAATGAATAATTCTATTACAATATTTATGTATAAATTTGTTTTTTAAAGATTTATTTATGTATATGGTTGTTTTGTCTGTGTGTACATTTATCTCATTTATCTGCACACCAGAAGAGGGCATCAAACAGTTGTGAGCTGCCCTGTGGGTGCTGGGCACTGAACTCAGGACCTTTGGAAGAGAAGTGATTACTCTTAAACACTTAGTCATCTCTCTAGCCCATATCACTTTGGTTTCTTTGTTTGCTTGCTTGCTCGTATTTTTTTTCCAGATAGGGTTTCTCTGGCTGTCCTAGAACTACCTCTGTAGACCAGGCTGGCCTCGAACTTCACAGAGATCTACCTGCCTCGACTTCCAAATTCTGGAACTAAAGGAGTGTGCCCACCTCTGCCTGGCTCATACAATTTGTTTTAATCTTTTTCTTTCTGGTGCTGGAACTTGAACCCATGGACTCATCTGTGCTGGGAAAATGCTCTACCACTGACATATTTCCCTAGAATAACTCATGTACCAAATTTGGAGTGGACATATGTTTTTATCCTATATACCTAGAAGTAGAATTTCTGTGTCATGTGAGAACTGAATTTTCAAAGGGCTATTCCATAGTATTATGAAGGGGCTTTTTGTTTGTTTGTTTGTTTGTGGGGTTTTTTTGTTTGTTGTTGGATTTTTGGTTTGGTTTGGTTTTTGGTTTTTTGCGACAGGGTTTCTCTGTGTTGCTTTAGAGCCTTTCTGGGAACTCCTTTTGTAGACCATGCTGGCCTAGAACTCACAGAGATCCCCACCTGCCTCTGCCTCCCCAGTGGTGGGATTAAAGGTGTGCACCACCACCACCACCACCACCACCACCACCACCACCACCACCACCACCAGACTTTTACAAAGGGGCTATGTAAAACCACTTGTAAAATCATTTTGCATTTCTAACAGCAGTGTATGAGGGAACCAACCCCACCCTTGCCAAAACTTTTCTCTTTCGGTCATCCTTGTAAGGTTGATGTGGTATCATATTAAAATTTTGACTTGCATTTTCTTAATGACTATGTGATCAACTTTCCATGATCTTACTGCTATTTGTATATCATTAAAGAAATATCTCATATATATGTATATATATATATATATAGTGTGTGTGTGTGTGTGTAACCAAGATTGAACTTGAATTTATGATTTTCCTACCTCTACCACCCAAGTGCTGGGATTACAGATATATGCCACCATAGCAGGCTAACATGAGTTTGAAAGGAACCTAATTCAATCCATAACACTCCACTCTCCAGACTTCTAAATTCATGTCCTCACATATATTCTTATCCCATGTCAGTGTCAAACTCTAAATATAAAGTCTCATCAAAATATAGGTAGATGACATGACTCCACAATCGTCTAATTCCAGCATATGGGATACTTGAGGCAGGAGAATTATTTGTGCCTTTGAGTTTGGCAATACATTAAGACACCCCCAGACCTCAAAAGAAAACAAAAATTAGAAAATCTGAAATGCTCAAAAACTCCTTGAGCAATGATGAAAACCTGCACACACACACACACTGGCACATACACACTCACACTCACACACACTCACACACACACACACACACACTAGAACCTTTTTGCATAAAATTACTAAATTTATTTTAATTACCTTTAGGCTATTGATTTCCATATGCAATGGAGCTTTTTTTCCAGGGGGCGGTGCCCTTTAAGATATATTTATAAGTTACAATTCCATTAGACTTTAAGGCTCAGGTGGGAGTGTCTTGAAAAATAGAGAATGAGTTTTCCTGGCTAAGTTACCTAGATACCCAAGAAATGTATCTTTTAGTATGCTTGCCTGACAGGCTTCGGGCAGCACACCCTCTAAGGATTAGTAGTCACCTATTGAGAACTGGAGAGAGTGGCATCTACAGCAGATCCCGGAGCTACAATGATCCAACTGCAACGCTGGGAAGTGAGCAGAGAACCTGGGCAGGATGAAATGAAATTGGTGAACGAATGAAAAAGAATGCAGACAGTAAAGTGTTAACAGGATTGTACGGGCACGTACAGTTATAACGTGGGAGGCAACGCTGAGTAAAAAGTCTTGCTTAACTCTTGTCACCTCCAAGGCATTTTATTTTACCTTCACGAACCTGTGGAGACGGGGACTAAGTATAATTCACACCACCCTTAGCATTTGAGAGCTACTTTTACCTACATCCTTGAGCGGATGGCTGCCTTTATGCTCTTTGCGTGGCCCCGACAAAAAGAAAGCCCATTGCGGTTTAGAACAAAACTGGGTTGCCTGAAACAAGGCAGCTGCAGCCTGGTGGCTTCGCCTTGATGCCTGGTGCTTTTGGCACGTTGCTGGCACCGCCTGTGGACCTTAGTTCCCGCCCACGGCCCTGGCACAGTCGCTCCTGAAGAGTGACGTACTGTGTGGCCCACAGACAACCCGACGGCCCAGAGCACTACCTGTCACGGCCACCAGCCGACGAGCCCTCGGCAAACCATGCCCAGCGCCACTCGAGCGACAGTCCCAGAGCCGCCTCAGGCGGTGACGGGTAACGGTCCCCGGAGGGGGAGGGGCGACTCTAAAGTCTGGGCGTCTCCGAGTCCCTTCCCGAGGCTGCGGGGGGCTCCGTCGCCGGTCCGCTCGCGCCCACGGCCTCTCCAAAGCCTCCCCTCCCAAGGGCTCCCGGCTCCGTGTGAGAGGAGCCGCGTTGCGTGTGGACGCTCCGAAATGCGACTCTGTCTTTGTGCCGGGTTATCGCCGTCGCCCGGAGCCACCGGCTTCCCGCCTCTACCCTGTGGTACCCCGCCTGTGAAGCACCCCACCGGTCGCCTGCGATGGTGTGACCCGTGAGCGCGAGGGGAGGAGCTTGCGCACAAACGAAGGAAGCGGAGCCTGGGTGTGGAACAACAGGCTGAGGGCGGGGCTTGGCGCGCGGGAGGTGGAGCCCGGGTGTGGGGCTACTGGATGAGGGCGGGGCTTGGCGCGCGGGAGGTGGAGCCCGGGTGTGGGGCTACTGGATGAGGGCGAGGCCTTAGGCGCGCAGAAGGCGGAGCCCAGGTCTGGAGTAATTAGGCTGAGGGCGGAGCTTAGGAGCGCCGAAGGAGGAGCCCAAGTGTGGAGCCTGTGCATAAAGCAAAGGGGCGGGGATTGACGGAGGGAGGCGGGGCCAGGGGTGGAGCCATAGCGTGAGGGAGGAACTTAAACTAGAGCGGGAGGCGGAGCCGACCACCAGAATCTCGCAGAAGCTCAGGTGTTCACTGTTGAGGTCCTTCCATGGGAGGTGGAAGGTGCAGACCCTAGGATGGGAGAGAATGAAAGGCGTGATTCGATGTTGCAGTGAGGTAGTGAGGAAGCGGAGAAACATGGGAGCCCTGAAGCTTGTGGGGAGGCAAGGGTGACTCTGACGGGAAAAGTTGAAAATGATCTTCCTTTACCTTATTTTTAAAGCGGTGTGATAGATGATGGAAGGGTCGTATTTCAAAAGAGCATTGGGCTGTGGATGATGCCCTCAAGACATCTAGAGAATCTACGGCACCAGATCTCACGGGGATTTGGTTCTTTTCCTTCGTCGGCAATATACCTCAGAAAGTAAAAAAGGGAAAAGTGTGTCTGGCGAGACAGTCGGGTAAAGGTGCTTGCAACAAGCCTCTTTCAAGTTTGATCTTGGAATGCACATGGTGGAAATAAAGGACTGACTCCAACAAGCTGTCATCTACCTCCACCGGAGAGTCATGTACACATACATGAAAGGCACACAAAATAATTAAGACTAAGTTTTAAAGCTGTTTTGAATTTAAAAAGGAAAAAATATCGTCTGTCCCTCTCACTTTCCTGAAGGCAATCACTACTTCTTGTCCTACCACCAAGTCTGTGCGATAATAAGACTTTTAGCGATTTTAAATTGCGTTAGTATAAGAAATTATAAATTGGGACTGGAGTAATGACTGTTCTTTCAAAGGATCGGGACTCATTAAATTCCCAATACCCACATGGCAGCTCACAACTGTCTGTGACTCCAGTTCAAGGGCTTCTGACACCTCACACAGATCTACATGCTGGCAAAACACCAATGCACAAAAAATAAAATAAGTCATTAAAACAGGAAATTATAATCTGACATTTAACTAATACTATTTTATAACAAGTTTTAGAACACTTATCAATGCCATTTTGAGGACAGCCTGATATACAAAAGAACCCTGTCACAAAATACAAACCGAGACCAGGTTGTGGTGGCACACATGCTTAATCCCAGCATTCAGGAGGCAGAGGAAAGCAGATCTTGGTGTTCCAGGCAAGCCTGGTCTCCAGGGTGAGTTCCAGGAAAGTCTGGGCTACACAGAGATGTCTCATCGCTGCCTCAAAAAAAAAAAAAAAACAAAAAAAACAAAACAAAACCAAAAACAAACTTCAGCAATGAAGGAGAACTGGAGATAAATGCCCAGTCCCTGTGTCTGGTAGCTCCCAACACTCACCCCAGCTCTTGAGGCGTCCCAATACCCCTGACCTCTGTTACACATATATAATTTAAAATAATAAAACAAAACTTTAAAAAACATCAAGAGGGAAATTCAGTTTTAGAGCATTTTTATTTGAGAGTGATAGTTTCTTAAAGTCAATTAGAAAACCCTATCAGCAAGCTTTCAGGCTGTGTTGGGCTATGGTGCATTAGTTGATTTTGCGCATGAATGGCTTTTTTACATTCTAGAGGGTATATACAATTTTAACATTCTCAAATTCGTATTGGTCTTTTAAAAACTTTGTGTGTGTATTATTCTTATAGGTGTTTTGTCTTCATGCATATTTATGCACCGTGTATATGTAATTCCTGGAATATCAGAAGAGGGCATTGGGTCCCTTGGAACTGGAGTTGTAGATATGATAGTTGTGCAGGCCTTCCGTACTCTGCCATGTTTCATTCAATAAAAATTTTAAATTCCATTCATTGACTCTGCCACCTATTAAGTGTTACTTGGTAAGATGTCAGACTCATCTCATAGCTAACAAAAATGTTTTCAAAATAAATTTTCTGAAAGCTCATGCTATCATTGGCAACAAACATTACCTATTGGTTATTGTGTTTAAACTGACAAGGTTGTTTCTGTAATTGTTGAGAAAATATTGACCAGTGTTGAAGCATGAATTGTGATAGGTTGTCAGTCTGGTGTTTTGAAGTTAGAATGATGTTCAGAAAGAAAAGCAGTATTATTGACAGGTTTCATAATGTTATCATTAAATTTTAATTGGTTAACTAGCTGTTCACTCACTCCAGCACCAGAAGTATTGGAATACTATTTTATAACAAGTTTTAGATAGTTTTACAACACTTATCAATGCCATTTTGAGGCCAGCCTGTTATACATAAGAACCCTGTCACAAAATACAAACCAACTGAGACCAGGTGGTGGTGGCACACATGCTTAATCTCAGCACTCAGGAGGTGGGATTGAGCTACCTGATATGGGTCCTCTGCAATTCTCACTTTCCCATTAAGTATTATTCTAAAGCACTTGACATATATTCTAGAATTTCAGTCTTGAGCTAGACAGAATAAACCTATCCTTTCTTTCAAAATAATGACAGCACACAAAAGGATCTTATTAAGTAGATACTGAGCAGCCTAAAGAATTGCTGCCAGGAATGATGATACAAGCCTTTAATCCCAGCCCTTAGGAGACAGATGGAGGCCCTGACAATAATAATTATTATGGATAGTGCTGTATAATTTGGCTTGAGGCTGGTTCTGTATGACTTTATACTATTTTCATTAAGAAACTACTGTTATCCGGGTGTGGTGACCCACACTTTTAATCGCAGGACTCGAGTAGCAAAGACTGATGGATCTCTTAGTTGGAGGACAGCCTGGTCGACAGAGCAATTTCCAGGACAGCCAGGGATGCACAGAGAAATCCTGTTTAAAAAGAAAAAGAAAGAAAGAAGGAAGGACGGAAGGAAAGAAAGAAAGAAAGAAGAAAGGAAAAAGGAATCTGCTGTTGCATCCCCGAACACTGGAATTGTGAGCCAAGATTTGACCTTTCTGCCATTGCAACACTAAGCAGCTTCTGCTAGAAACAACCACATTCATCTGTCTGATTGGCAGAGTCTGGGAGACACACTTACAAGAGACTGTTCTAGCTACAAGAGAGTGGGCATTTGAGTTTTCCGTGTCACAGTGAGGAGGCAGAACTCACAATGGATTTCTTCACATACAAAGCAAGGGTTCTTCAGAGGTGATGCGAATAAGCACAAAAAAGACAAGCTCAGCATTATTAGTTGCTAGAGGAATTCAATCAAAACCACTATGGTGATGTCACTGGAGTTTTAGGGCAAGAGCTCTGAGAATCCCAACAGACTAGGCTCAGCTGTCTGCCACACCGCACTAATTACAGAGACATGTAGTGATGACAGGCAGGGAAGGGTTAAGGAATGTGGGTGTGTTGGGAGGTACAGATAAAGGGGTTCAGCGACCACAAGTCCATCCTCGGGCATGGAAATGAACTTCAGATTTATACAGAGGAAGTGTTAAGGGAGCAGTTTTGGTCAGTGTGTGATCTGCTTGGCCCTTATCTCTGTGGTCTGACTGACCATATCTGAGCTCTGCTCCCACATTGCTGTCCCCACTGCTGAGGGGACAGTTTCTCTTTGAGATGCTGTTATTCCTGGAATCCAAGATAGCCACAGATTTGAAACAATGTCTGGAGACATTTAGGTATCCTTTGGGGATCCAGAATAGGACATCATGAAAGCTGTGATAAGCTGCCTCAGTCTCTCTTCTCTCTGAACTGTTGGAGATAGGTTAGCTAGCCTTGGTTTTTAAACAGACACTTCTTCAGTAATTAGCATAGCTAATGCTGAGTTGTAATACATGTGATGACATATCTAGAGAGTAAGGGAGACAGACACAAATGAAGGTAGATATGCTGAATTTTTATTGCCTTGGGAGCCCAAATAGTGAGTCGATATTTTACATCAAAAACAATTTCTACCTATGACACTAATGATAACTTACTTAAATAATAATTACATTCATCAAGATTCATCAAGTCAGCTAAGCGTTGGTGGCACATGCCTTTAATCCCAGCACTTGGGAGGCAGAGGCAGGCGGATCTCTGTGAGTTTGAGGCCAGCCTGGTCTACCAAGTGAGTTCCAGGACAGCCTCCAAAACAATACAGAGAAACCCTGTCTCGAAAAACACCAAAAAAAAAAAAAAAAAAGAAAAAGAAAAAAAAAAAAAGAAAAGAAAAAAGATTCATCAAGTAAATTACTTAGCTAATTTTTATTAATTAATTAATTAATTAGTTATTTTTAGACAAGGTCTATATGTAGCCCTAGTTGTCCTGGAACTTGTTATGTAGACCAGGCTGGCCTTGACCTTACAGGGATCCACCTGCCTCTGCCTCTTGAATGCTGAAACTAAAGACACGAGCCACTATGCCTGGCCTTCATAATACATTTATTTTATTTTTTAACCTCTTTATTCACATCATGTACCCCAATTCTACTCACCTCCCAGTCTCCCTATAGCCCTCCTTCATCTCTGCCAAGCCTCCCCCAAAGAAACAAAACAAAGTAAGCAAGAAAACAAATAAAAGAAAAAGAAAAGCAAAACCACCGCAACAAAAATCTTCACTTCTCTTTCTTTCTTGCCCTTCCAACAGCTCTTCATTCATCCTGGTGGCAATGGAGGCTTCAGTAAGTGACATAGGATACCTCTTTGTCCCATCAGTTTTACTGCACACATCTATTGCAGTGAGTCACTAGTCTGGTTCAAGGCCTCTGGTTTCTGGATCCTCACTGGAACTCCTCTGGGCTATCCTGTGGCTGCCATGAGTCTTGGAGATCTTGTAGGTATCGTTCCA